TTGGGGAATAAAAGAAAGTTAAAGCCAACCAAGACCTTTTTTCACAAAGCTGTGCAACAACATCTCTACTGTATTTGCGTCTCGGTTCGCTTTTTGGTGCTTTTTCGTTTTTTTTTTTTTTATCAAAACGGAACATGTGTGAGAGAAGAGAGGCGAATGTTTTGTAGGCAGGTATGCCTCCTTTGCAGATAATGTCATGCAAACAAAATAAGATACAATATGCAGCCGTTTGTTGCCAAGCAGCAAGGCATTAACAAATGCTTTAAAAAGTAAAGTCCCTGCTGCAGCAGAGAGAGGGTCTTTCATAGTGGGCTGGTCCTGCTTGTTAATATTTCAGGGCATCATGTTACCATTAAAATGAACAATAAAAAGTTTTAATAATTTCTGGTGATTTTAAAACATACGATTGTTGTTTTTAAAAAGTTTGGATTCTTTGATTCTCTCCATCAACACAGGCTCTTTTTAAGTTCAAGGAATAAAGTAGCTTCCTTATCTCCCTGTTATCTCTGTCTCTGCAGACTAAACTGGCAGATGTTGTCCTTTTACTTTGTCTTTTTACAATCTCGGGTTGCTGTTGTAGTGCTGACATGGTGGAGTGTGTGGAGAATATAAAAGAATAGAGATTGACTTCTGTATATTATTCTTTGAAGAGTTGAGAACAAGCAGTTTTCCTGTGAATGTTCCCATGACTTTAAGGGATGTCATATAGTGGGGTTACACATGGTTTGCATGGAGCATTGGTGTAAAGGATGTTCTGTTTTAGTGCTGCTACCTCCTGGTGTTCACCAGTTCTGTAAAATATTGCTGCTGGTGTTTTTTTTTCTTCTTCCTGTCGACTGTGGGATCCACCTATAAGGTGTGAGGTGAGCATAGAGCCACAACTGGGGGAAAAAAGGGGGTTAAACTTAGTTTCATGCTTAGGTTTTCACATCATTTGTATCTCTTTTGTCCACCTTTTTGACATGTTAAAACCAAAGACTTATTGGGTTTTTATGTAAAAGATCAAGGAACAGGATCTCTTGCTTTTATTTTGTTCCTAAAACAAAAGCAAAACCTAAAAGTCTTAAAGATGTGGTTGTATTCGCATTACTGTGATACCCCTAAATAAACAAAACAGTTCTAACAGTTACCCTCAGAAGTCACCTAATTAGAAAATGTGCATAATTGGGACATCTTGATTGTCCTGTAAAGGCTTTAGCAGTTTGTTAAAGAATATTACAGATAATCAGCATCATGAAGACAGAGAAAATCAGCAGAGGAAGAAAAAACTACAGTTAAATGAAATCTAAATTACAATCATTTTTGCCACAAGCTATAAAGCATGCAGGTAGGTTTGATGGGAGCATCAGAAGCCTTGGAGCTAAATTGAAATGCTATCTGTCCAGATGTACCGGTACCAGCCCAGATGATTGTGGCATTTCAGATGTTTCATAAAAGCCATTAAAGAGGTGAGATCTGGGCAAAAATTGTCCCTCCAGCAGGACATTAAATCTAACTTTACATCCAGCGAAATCCTGATATGTTACAGCTGTTTTCCCTTTTGAGTTTGGATTTAAAAGAAAGTTTAATCTTTTAGATTCACATTGAGTTAAAATTTAAGTTCTTTCAATTTATAAGCTTCCTAAAAAAAGTATTCTTTTAAAATCCAATAAAGGCTCATGAGGTGTGAACACTGTTCAATATATGGGGAAGAATGCAAAGGAAACAAGTTGGTGTTCAGATGCATGGCTGGATGTTTCTCTTTCTTTTAGTCGAGCTTCATTAAAGCGGTTAAGAGCTGTTAGATTTCCCAGCATCATTAATTATTTTTTCTTGTTTAATAAACTAATCTAGGCCTCTCTTATCTGTCTGTTAAAAAGTAAATTTTTGCTTTTAAGACTTATTTGCAGATGTTCATGCCCACAATGCTGCATCTAAAGGAACATTTGTCCTGTACTGCCATCTGCTGGTGTAGATAAATATTCCACTGTGTACAGTTACACAGGCATATTGACCTAAAAAATGGATTTCATTTAGTGTTTTTATATAAAAAAGACAAAAGCAGCTGTTGTCACGTTACACTTTACAAGAAAAACAACCCCAGTTTATTTTTAATCGCATTCATTTAATATAATTCATCCCAATCTGATGTTAAATTCAGAGCCTGTCATGTATATATTGTTGAGTTTGGTCCAATATACAACACAATAAAGTCTAAATGTATATTTTATTAGAAGAAAATAACATTTCCTCTCAGGAAGCTTGACTAAAGGAGCTTGTAGCAGCAGCAGTAAAGATGAATTATTCCTTTTTAACAAGACAAATCCCCCAGCAGTAAAAGGCTTTATTTAACAGATCATTGAGTGGTGATGAGGAGGAGGACAGTCATTTTAAAAGTCATAGGATTGTCAGTTCTGGGTGACATACTATAGAATAAATAACCATAATATTAAAGGTCTACCAATATCCTTGTCCAAGAAGAAATCACAATACAATAACATACTGAACCTGTAGAACCTCCTCCTCAACTTAGATGCTATCCAACTGTTTAATACTTAATGTTACGAAATGATAGCATCAAATCTTACCTTAAATTTTTCTTATAAATTCACACATCTCTACCTATTTCTGTTTTTAATGTGGTTAATGATTACTGGACTTTTCAATGAGACGCTGAACTTCTGGAAGAATCTGGGGCTAGAGGTGTCAGCATGCAGCAATAAACTTTATATCCCTCTGAAAGATTATAAAGTAAGTACTGCTGGAGGTTTGCAAATGTGTAATGTAGTTAAAGATTACATATTACCATTGTGCATGTTATACTGAAAGCCACCCGGGATGTTCAGGCTTTGACAGTCAATGAAGGTCACTGACCTGGACACATGAGAGGCATTTAGTTTGCAGTGATTAGAGCTTTGTGCTTTATTCTCCATACATGCATTTACACAGTAATGAACTAAATGGTAGTTAGAATCTGTTAGCAGAGCAGTAATTCAGGGTAAAGTTATCACTTGGATAAAGAGAGTTTTTGTATTCTCCTAGATTAATGTTTTATCTTCCCTCTGTATTATCATGTGTTCTGTATAAATATGCCCACCAGCTTATGTTCTGATATCATTTTTTAATGGTTACTTTTATATATTCACATTCCTTAACAGACTGAAGTAGCAAAATAATTCTCTGGCTTTTTACAATCTGTGTTTCTGGAAAACCGAGGTCATAGAGGAACAGCTTGGATTTACTTTACATTTCTATCCCTTAAATGTATCTCCAGGTACAGCATGTACATAAAACTGAGCTCTTTTTATGATTTCATTCATTGTGTGGATTTTTTGTATTTTTTTTGTTGGACTGTGGGTCTCTTATTGCCATAAGAGAATACATATTGCATGACATATTTCTAATGCACCATTAGATTGAAAAATACAGTCAAAAAGCATGTGAACGTTTTTCCCTTTCTTTTTACACAACAACTAACTTCGTAGCTGCTTTTGATGTTAATGGGACTGATTGCAGCAATAACTGTTGCAAAATTGAATTGCAGTGTTTAAAAAAACCTTCTCTTTGTATGATTGGATCCCATCAATGTATGTCATTTTAGTGTATTAGTTAGTTAAACAAGGACAGTGTACAGTACAAAATAAAGAGTGAGTTGAATTGCATTATTAAATTTTCACATCTTGTCTATACTTGTTTGGCCACTGGCTTTGTTTCAATTACTAATTTGTATGTTCTCTTTCACATGTTACAGTGTAACTTTTATGTTATTTGATTGGATTATATATCTTTTATTTTTTTTATTCAATCTTGAGCCCCTATAGGTCTAAATAACTTTAAAAATATGTAAGAATTTGTGTATCTGTAATTGTTGATGATTGACTTACTTTATGATTAGCTCCAAGTTTTCTTATAAGCTTCTAAGGGAAAATAAATAGCAAAAAGAAAATAATTGATTTATATTTATTAAGAAACTTCAGTTTGAACTTTAGGCGCACAGAAAACAGTATTAATAAGTATAAAAATATCTCTGCAGTTGGTAAATGTTAAGTTTTGTCACCATATTTTGCATATTTTCATCAATGATTCAGTTGAAAGAACAGATTCTGTATTAGAGATAAAATGCTAAATACTTTGATTCTTCACAGACTGAATCATGTGTTGAGCAGTGAATATGCATGAAAGCAGCAGGGGTGTTATTGGCCTATGGGTTTGAATAAAAGCACATTAGCATGGTCAGTCATATTTATCTTGGTAAGGATTTGGGGGAAAAAAATAAAAATGAGAAGAAATCCAAACTTTTTCTTTAGAAAATGTATTCTGTGACAACCAAACTCTCAGTCAAAGATAAAGAAGTTTTACAACATCATTGGTATTTTCCCAGGAAAGCATCTTGTAATATTTAATGGTTTTACAGCATACAGGGAGAGTTCTGCTGGACTGTCTTTCTCTTTTTCCAGAATCCTAGCTTGTCTCGTTTGCTTAGGTTTGTGAAATATATATACCGGTATATATATATATTTTTTTTTTCTGGATCGTGTGTTTTTCTACAATCTTTCTGCTGAAAAAAACAATAGCTTTTAAGTTTTTTTGATTGATTCTTATGCATTGTCATTAAATTATCTAGGTTTATAGAGCTAACCATATCACGCTTTCTGACAAGGATCACGGGGCCGTTAGAATATAAAACTTTAAAGATCCTTTGCCATTCTTCACAACTGCATGACCTTCTGTTTAGATGTTAATCCTTTGTAAACTAAACACTTTTAGTTTTTATTGCAATTCTTTTTAATCTCAACTGATCGACTGTAATCTTGTACTTAAAATCAGATGTTAAAATAAATATAGATTCTAATTTGAACACTGAATCATCAATTTGTCTAAATTTTTATATGACGCTAAATAGAGACAAAAAGCATTCAAGAAATGCAACAAAATGTTTAATCTCAAAACACTTATTTTATTGAGGTAGTTCTTGCTCAA